TACTAGAGTGAAATTTAAACGTGCCTCTGCATTCTCCATGAATTTCGTAACTTGCTATGATCATGGTAAAGAGAAAACCTATGCTTACTTTCAACAGTTAGCTGGAGTCTGATCGAAAACGTGTCTCAAAAAATACCTTTACATCATTTTTCCGTTTATTTTTTCAGCTCGTAACGATAGAATCAGTCAATTTAGAACTAACATGTATGCTATCGGAAAGCATTTTGGCACAATATTACTGAAAAAACGAGTTTTTCATTGCTCATGAATATTAATTTATGCAAATGAGCGATTATTTCAACCAATCGTGTCATGCAACTCCCCGCCCTGGTTTTTAGCAATGATGCTGCTGAAATTTATTCTTTATTCCTTTTTTAAAAAATTTTAACAGTGCAGGTATTGTTTTTTACCCCTTACAATACATATGTCCATGGACGAAACAAGACACTTTTTGGCGATATAGTCATGTATTCCAAAAATCTATTTTGCTAAAAATTGTGTTTATTTTGACCATGGAAGGTACGTTAGTATAGTCATGTATTTCAAAAATCGGAAAATGTTGAGCCTCGTGTGTACTAATTTGCATAAAATGTAAATATTCTGAGATGTTAATCGTAGAGGGCGTGTATTCTAAACCGGCCTCTCAATCATCAACCCCGCATTCATTCATCAAGATGGCGGCGTATGATGGACACGCTACAAAACGACAGAGAACTGATTCGGACGGCAGGGGAGTGCAATCTGGAACAAGGGTGAGTTACATTCTATATGTTAGGACTCTCTTTTATTTTCTCACAAATTCTGTGCTAAAATGGAACTCCGTAAAGCAAAAAATATTGGACATTTTGGCGTTTTAATTTCTGCACTCTACGACATGCTTGTTGAACCACCCAGCGTGTGTGCGTCACTTTTTACACTCAGTTGTTCGCCACACGGTGTTCAAAGGTTCATGAATAATTGGGCGAGTCGCATATGGCAGCCTATGATTGAAATTTAAGCCTTTTAGGAAATACGTATTTCAATTCTATTTCTGGTTGAAGGAATAAATGTTCGCGTTTTAAGTATTGACATTAAAAAAATGCGTGTCCGCCGTTCGTCGCTCCTCACGATCAACGCAAACAGTAGCTAGCTAGGCTACGGTGTGTTATAATATAGCGTTTTCTTACATTTAATTTTAAGGAAATTTTTTTGTGTGTGTTTTTTGAAGACTCATGACTATCTTGTATTGTTCAACACCGTGCTACACATTCGCCCTGCTTTCAATTTTCATAGCATGCTTGTTTGCGCATCAACCATGTGTTCACTTTGTTTGACCTGTTTTTAATACACGCAAGCTGGCAAATAAGCAGTTTTCAATTGAAAACAATAGAAACTGCGCATCTTTGTTTATTTGATGTTTCCCATAATTCCCACCAATCGATTTTAACCTAATCTCGCCACATATTTCGAACCCCAATCATGTTGAATATTGTTTATTTTTATTTGTTTGTAACTACCCGTCTTATTGAATACACTATTTCGGATTTACAGGACAAGTTTGATTTAGATGCACAGGACAAGTATGATGATCCACATAAGCCACCTCCTTCCCCTGTGGTACATGTGCGAGGATTGTCAGACACTGTGATCGAGGCCGATTTAGTGGAAGCTGTTCAGCACTTTGGACCCATCAGGTAAGTTTGCAGTTAACTTGTCCAGTTGCTCACAACTCTTTGAATGGGGGAGGTTCATATTGTATTGGGACTATGCCAAACCTTTTAATGCATTCATGTTGCTACGTGTATCTGTAATCCAGCCTTTTGGTTACAAAGAAAAATGCATTGAATAGACTACCTGCAACTATTGTAGGGTGGGATATTGTTCAGCTGACCTGTAGGATGATTTTATGCAAATCTCTCGCTTGGGAGAAATCCTAGACATAATACAATCACACACATAGCTGCTTAACAACAATAATATGGTTATTTGCGGTATCGTATGACCAGTACTTTAAAGGGCATATGTTTATTTTTTTTTTCTGCTACTGCTTTATTTTTGTTTTATTTCATGACATTTATTAGTGTGATATGTTAGCTTGTAGATAGCTTTGTCTTAAGACTTTTAATCTATTGAACAATGTGTCTTGTCTCTGACAACCTGCCAGAATTAAAAATAGTTTCTCAGTGATTCAGACATTTAGAAGCAATAAGATTACTTTAGAACTAAGTTTCTGTGAATTCTGAAAACAAAAAAATACACCAGCCTTTTCTTTTATTTTCTTATGATATCGTAATTTTTTTTCTTCCCTTTTTTGTGTATTGCTAAATTCATTCATTTTTATCTGATAATTTGTAAATTGTCAATCGCTGCTTCAATTTTAATAATTAGCGTTATTTTTAATTTTAGTTATGTTATCATGATGCCAAGGAAACGGCAAGCTCTAATAGAGTTTGAAGATATTGAAGGAGCTAAAGCATGTGTGAATTATGCACAGGTACAGTCAAATCTTTTTAAGTGTAATTTGAATTTCTCCAAGGTTGCAAAAATGACTGCATGATATAATTAGGTTTTCACAGCATGTAATTGAATGGATCTGTTCTTGACTATGACTCCAATACATATTGATGTATGAACATCAAATCTCTGGCTATTTTGTTGTAACTCGTACATAAATTCTCTTTTTTGGGCCAGTTCAAATATTGAAGGATTTGAATGAAAAGTGTAACAGCTGTTAGTTGCAGGTTTGTTATAATGGGGGTTGTCTTACAAAAACATAAATTTGACACCCATATCTAGCTATTTACTTGACCCATCATCCGCATTGTTGTACATGTAGATGACACATGTCTGAAAATATTTAACATTCTTTGCTGAATTGTAATGTAATGGCCATGAGTAGTCTTATACTGATGTATAAAGAAGCTGATGTTCCAAATTAAATATGTATGGCAAAGGAATGGCATTTGTCCTGGGATGAACCTTTTTTTTTATTTACATGTGGTAATTAAACTTTTATTTTCCTTTCAAGCTAAATAATATGATTCATGTAGGAAATTCAGCTGCCTATTTTAATTTCTCAACGAGTCAAAGAATTTCACGACCAGGGTAAATACTTGTACTTTCTTTATTTCCTGTTCTTTTTTATTATCCTCAAAATAATAGATCTCTAAGGAAATTAGTTTGGTGTTGTGAGCATATAAAGTTAATGAGATAACTAACGTGTAACATGATGGACTAGTGATTATTTTACTCTTGTGGATATTCTCAGTAATAAATACATAAAAGCATTTTTTGTAATTAAAAAAAATTGACAGGTCAGGTTTCTACAATAAAATACTATGCAGAAATTGAAATAATTGTCATTCTATCTGTAGTGTTTTTTTAATATTGGCATAAATTAAAGATAGTATTCACAGATTTGTTAAAAAATAATTTAACTATGTATATATCTAACAGGGGATCTGAAGACAACCGTAACACCAATCATATCCTGTTGATAACTGTTCTCAATCCACGTTATCCGATTACAACAGTGAGTAATACATCAAATCATTCAGTGTAGTTTTGTATTTGCTTTCATGTCTGGTGGTATGTGTTTTATTTAGTCTGTTTTTTTTTCAACAACGTGCAGTTTTTTTTTGTGTGTGTGTATATATATATATAAATCTTTGTTTATGATTGATTGGAAAAAATTTGCAATTTTCTTGTTCGCTGTGAATGCAAAATTGTAATTTTCTCAGTATCTTTGAATTATCCCTTGGGGGGGGGGGGTTCTCTTTGATTTGCTTTCAACTTAGTTATGTGTATGTGCTGTTTGATATAAATTAGTAGTCCGGTCGCTGTATTTATGCTCCCGTGTATGTAGCATGTCAGATCTGAAGATCGTTTTCCTGATTTCTATCAGTTTCATGATAAATTGGAAACCTGATATGTAGATGCCAGCAAAGATAAATTTTATTGCAATTTTCTGGGTTTCAAGTAATACTCTAAAAATTTAATTTTGTTTGTTTGCAGGATGTGATGCATACCATCTGTAATCCATTTGGCCCTGTACAGCGAATCGTAATTTTTAAAAAGAATGGCGTTCAGACTATGATTGAATATCCTTTAATTTGTTTGTGTTGACAAAAAAAAATGTTTTTGTTTTAGCCATAATTTTATAAAATGTGCTGCACTGTTGAATGTTCATAATTGTATAATCCTCTACAGCTGTGACTTGGCAATTATATGATAAAACCATTGCAATATTATGTGATGTATAAAAATAAAATCTCTATCATGCCAGATAATTCACACGAGTTTAGTGTAGACCATGTAGAATAAAATTGCATGATGGTATCATTACTCAAGTTTCAATGCTTTTCAATATTTTGCCTTAACCCTGTGTTACATTTGATAATGTAGACAGTGCTTCCCGTGCTAAGGCTTCGCTGAATGGAGCTGACATTTACTCAGGTTGTTGTACACTGAAAATAGAATATGCTAGGGTAAGTAACTTGGAGCAGTCTGCTATATAAACATGCATGGTTCATTTGATAGTGTTTTCAATGACTAACGAGTCAGCATTTCCATAAATAAACAGGCATTCTTATTGATCTATTTTGAACTAGATAAACCTCTCCAGGCTATATGAAACCAATTTAAAATATGTTGATTTGGGTATACGCTTTAGATGCCGACTGATCCTATTGAACTTCAGTATATTAAAGTCTGTTTCATTCTAACTTGCCCCTTTTTCTCTCCACCTTATCTATTTTCAATTACAGCCAACTCGATTAAATGTTTATAAGAATGATAATGAAACCTATGATTATACCAATCCCACTCTTGGAACTGGAGGTTAGTAAACTTCTTTTTCCCACAGCTTTCCGTTGAAAAAACATTTGCTTTGGATGTTTTGGAGTCATGAATTTGTTGAATAGTACTCTACATTCTTTGCATGAAGTAGTAACAAAAAACAAGTTTTTTTTTTTCTGATCACACGTTTTTTTTTGTTTTTTTTTAATATGCATGAACACTTATTTTGCTGAATGTTAGTAGCTTGGTAATTAGTGATAGATACTGTTTTGCTAGTATTAGTTACTCAATGATTTGTAGTTGTTAAATTTTGTAATCAATCTGTTCAAAGTTGTTTGTTGTGCAAATGTCTGGTTTCTCACCCACAACCATTGAAGCCCACCAGTGGAAGACTATATATATATATATTGAGAGCTGGGCATACAACAAACATACACAAATACCCAGCATTCAGGATAACTATACTGTACTGCTCCAAGCACTGTTGGAAACTTTACTCCCCTATACCTGCTTTCATTGGAATGTTACAACATACAGTTATACTATGCCAGAAGGAAACATCACCCACACTCCTGAGAGAACTCACAGAACATTGGATTTTTATAACCTAACTCGATACAAATAAACCTCAGCTACAAGACAGCAGGGTCAGATGAAAGCGACAAAGAAGGAAAGGACACCAACCATCATAACTTCTGCTGACATGCATACAGACATGAACACTATATATTTCAACACGTACCCTGCAGAAGGATCTCACGAGGAAACAAGAATACAAGAGTGTACCAGTCTGTTAAAGTGTGAACAGTAAAACACTGAGGAAACCAACAAAAACACACACTTTTAGCATACAAGATCTCTCAGTATTGCAAGACAACAAGTGAACATTTTATTGTTATTCATAACATGCCGATTTCTACGGATATCTCCGGAATTATGCAGTATTCAGGGAATTTCCTTGTGAAACTTCCTAAATGTGGATTATGCAACAGACCTCCTTCGGGAGAGGAATGCAATTTGCTTTTCCAACATGGATGTATAATATGGGAGTCCCTCTCATGCTGCATAATTCATGGATTTATTATAAGTCGAGAAAGATTTTGTGAGCATTTTTCTCAAATGGAACACTCAAATGGAAAACCTACATCATTGCCACTTCAAGGCATCAACACACACAAGACTGTACCAAACAGACTATTAATATCTTTGCTATTTTGCCAGAACCCATCCTAATAGACTCTAATGAATGTATTGACAGGATGAGAAGTGATACTCGCGTCATCGGTTGATTCCTTTGAGTTTGATTTGAGGAGGATGTTCCTGTTGCATGTGTATCTATGAAGATGTTCTCAAGAAAGAAAAAAGACTTGGATAGATTCCAGCTAATGAAAGTACAGGAACTTCCTGTTATCTCTATTTTATCCAATTCCTTCATTAATTGATACATGGGAGAAAATTAATATTTGCTGACTTTAAATCAGTTTTTACTGTATGCTGCAGAGAAGTTTCACCAAATAAAGTCATACCCAGCTTATACTGCTTAGAATCTGACCCCTCTTCTGAGAGTCTTTATTATTTAAGTCTAATAGTGTAAAAGTATTTTATCAATGTACCCTAACTAGTATACTCCAGAATTGTATGGTGTTTAATGAATTTACATCTTTTGTACTGATGAGAAAAATTGTTTTGTTTTTTTGTGTCTGCAAAAAATGTTATTTCAGTAAAATCCTGTTTTTATCTATGCACCTACTTTGATTTGATTTTAACTTATCAGCTTTAGGGCAGTTTGGTTTGTATTCTTTCATGTTTATTAGCTGTTCTTACCTGTTGTCATCTATTACAGCCAAAGAAAAGGGCAATGCTTTGTTGGAAGAGCCTAGAGGATATAACATGGGGGTGCAAGTGAATCACAACCAAGGCATGGGTGGTACGTTAAATGATACTTTAAATTACTTTCAGTATTTCTGTACATGTCAGTCATCCCCGTTTTCATGATATAGTGTAAACAGTTTTAAATTTATAAAAGTAATTGAGGCAGGAAAATCAATGCTGCAATGGTGAAAGTTCATTGGTTCTTAGTCACAGACGTTCATAAATTTCAATCTTTCCAAACCCCTTTCACATAGTAAATATTTTTGGTGTGTTTTTTTGATTTACCAACTAGTTTCTTTTTTGTTAAATATAATAAAAAATATATTTCTTTTTCCTCAGGAGGGAATCAAGGTGGTGGATACAACAATTATCAGCATCCTAATCAAATGCAGAACATGCAAGGGCAGTATGGTAATAACATGGGAGGTGGAAATAACATGGGAGGTGGTGGTGGGCCTCACATGGGTGGCGGCAACATGGGCAACCAAATGGGAGGCGGCAACATGGGCAACCACATGGGTGGTGGAAATATGGGCAACCAAATGGGTGGTCAGATGGGCAACCAAATGGGTAACCACCAACCAAAAGGTAGTCCGGTTGTAATGGTGTATGGAATGGAACCTGAAAAACTGAATTGTGACAAGTTGTTCAACGTATTGTGCTTGTATGGCAGTGTTCTGAAGGTATGTATTGTGATTGTTTACGCTTGATTGCTCTACATTTTATCCCAAGAGTGCACATATGTTATTGACAGTAAAAGAACTGTAATGCTATGAGGAAATGTAATCCTGTAAGATGTCATCAAACTAGCTATTTTTACGGTCTGTTTATGGCAGATGCTTGTTTTACTTAAATATTATAATAATAAATCTTTAAAGCATAGAGTAAGATAGATAATCCACGAGAAATGACTGGAAGGGGAAAACCCAAGTTTTAAAATACCTGAATTTACTTAGTGCTTGCAATTGGTTCTTTTCTATTTTTTATTAAGCGTAGTGTAGATCATGATCAAGCTTAAAATGTCATGCGTGTCCTATGCTTTCAGTGCTGCAACACTTGTCAAGTGTTATATATTACTGTCTTGTTGCAGATAAAATTCATGAAGAGTAAACCTGGCTGTGCTATGGTACAAATGGGAGATGCCTTGGCTGTGGAACGAGCCATTACTAATCTGAATAACGTGGTGGTCTTTGAAAAAAAAATGCAGCTCGGGTAAATAACAAATCTGTCATTTTCCTTATTTATTCAGCTATGATTAATTCAATATTGTAGGCTTCTTTATTGGCTCTGTCGGATACATAACAAAGCCATGTGGCCTTTTGACCTGAACCTTATTTTGACTCTACTTATCATTTTCATGTGGTGTTATCTTTTCTCTCGTTGGATTTCAACATAAATTAAGTTACTTTTGTAGTGCAGTTTATTTAAGGGGTGTGGTTACACTAGTGTATTGTGTCTTTTGTCAGGTTTTCAAAGCAAATGTACATTGCTGATCAAATGCAGCCGAGCGATCTCCCAGATGGAACGACATGCTTTAAGGATTTCTCACAGTCGCGGAATAACAGGTTTTCTTCTCCAGAAGCAGCTTCAAAGAATCATATCCTTTTTATCACCATGTCGTAAAGAAACATTTCTTTAATCTCCTCCGATAGATGCAATAAAGTTTGTCCACTTTTAATATTTGTAAGAGTAGCATTTATTATTGATTGGATTGGCCAGGAATTACTGTCCATCTCGTGATTACAATTATTGCTGTCTCCTGGGAGGAAATGAAATGTAAATGATCAGTCATGGAGTTTTATGGTGGAGACCTGCTAAAATGTAAATTAACTCGTTGACAGCCTTGCTAATAAGATTGACTCGATGTGTTATTCACAGCATACAGCTCCATGGTTGCAAATTATTGCAAGATCAGTGGTGATAGCCTTCATTGTTTTAACCCTCCCTCCCTCCCTCCCTCCTAAATCCATATCAATGTCTTACTTATCGGAAATTTAAAATCATTTCACACAGTCACATTAATAGCTGTGCATTCAGTTTCATAATTATTTTGCCTATTCATAAACTAATTTAAATATTCAGACTAAACTTATTACCCATCTCAATTTCACAACCAATGTTCAGGCTCATTATAAATTCTGGCGATATAAATTGATCTTGATTTAATAATTACCTCACTAAATAAATTTATGAATTAGTCTTATTTGCATATTGTGTTCAGAGGTAATTGCTGCAAACATTCAAATGTGAAGGAATGCAACTGGTAATTCTGATCATAGTATTGACTTTCTCTAAAAAAAATAATCAAATATATTGTAATGTTCTTGCTCTACTTTTGCAGCATGTTTTAGCAGAATAGTGTTTTCATGAATTATATATTGATCCATATAAATTGCAATATTGTTTGATATTATCCAGTCACTATTTTAGTTCTACCTTCATTCACCTTTCTAATTGGAAATAGCCTTTTTATTTTAGTTTGCAGCATTTTGACATTGGAGTATCCTCACTACTAGGGTCATTGATATTGCTATTAAATTTCAATGTAGGTCAATTGCATTACTACAAATGGTATTTTTTGTATTTGGTCAGGTGCAATTTTAGAGTGGTTACTCTGAACTGAAATCCCCTAGATACATATAGAGAACGTATTTGTTTGCACCCTTTCAGTCTTTTTTCCAGTCTTTGTATTTTTGACTCCCATGTGCGAAGCACAAAATGGGAGTCTTTGCAGTTAGTGTGTCTGTATGTGTGTATGTGTGTATGTGTGTATGTGTCCGACTGTTCCACTGCTATCTCAAGAACCATACATCGGTTTTTGATGAAACTTGGTGCATAGATGCTCTGGGCCAATGCGCAGATTTGATTAGGTTTTGGTAAAAATCCATGCTCATTAATTACCTAATTTGCATGATAATTAGCTAATTTTTAGCTGTTCTATGACTGTTCCACTGATATCTAAAGAACCACTCA